CGGGGAGGCTGTGGGGGAGCCCCCGGGCAGCACGCGGGTTGGCGCCGCTTTGCTTTTCTCCCAACTGTGATGTTTCCCTGCACGTCAACACATGTGAGGCGAATGGCTTGCTGGGTCTCTGGATTACTTACGCTAACACTCCACTTACTGAGTCCAGGCACACACTCTGTTTTTATACGATATTAACCTTTTCACTTTCAGAACAGATTGTTGTCGGCTTTAACGTGAAAGGGAGAACCACGGCCCACACATCTCACCACAAAAACTGCTCAGCAGTCTCGGAACAAACACAGTGAGTACTCCATTCTGTGCTTTTCTTGTGTTTTGCCTAAAAAGTAAACACATGTGAATAACCCTGATCCATGAAAACACTGTGGTGTTACAATAAGACCCACCACCTCTGGGAGGTGACACCTGATGAAGAATCACACAGGGTTGAAGACTCTATTAACCCTAAGAACCATAATTTGGGCAAAACATTATGAACGTGTTTTGAACAGTAACAACCCTGACCCAGAAGCACGAACTCAAGCGGTGCTGCAGCCACACCTGTGCTACCCACTGCCCCCAAAAGCTGGGTCCATGGTAGCTTCTGGAATATACTTGCTTTGTCTCAACATCTTGAAGCCAATAGAAAATGTGCCTGTTTTATTCTGAATATAATTGCAAAATAGTGTTTGCTGCCAGTTGGGGTAGACCTGCCGTCAGGGCCAGGAGAAGCAGCTCTGCGAAGATGCTCCCAATGCAGGAGTCTCACACTGAATGCAGCACATGGGAGGGTGCACATGGCAGGGTGTGGTACCAGGCTGAAATCAGCCCTGGCGGCTTCCCAGCCCCAGGCGGACCCTTCCAGAGCCAGTACTGTGAATGAGACTGTTCATGTGGATAGACTCTCGGGGCCATGTGGCTCCCTGAGGTGCTCTGGTTAGCTCATACGGGACCACCTGTGAGTCTCCAGACAGCAGCACCCCTGTCTGAGGCCCCACTTCCTCCCAAGAAAGGTATCACCCCAGGGAGGCAGGAAACCAGGGGTGAGCTCACCATGCTTACAGATAGCGCTTACTCATCAGAAACAAACCTATCAATTCAACAGAACTGAAGCGTCCATACAACAAAATAAGGCTTCCCATCTCGCACATGATGGTGGAAATGGAACCTGCTGCCCATGGTGTGAACATATGGGCTGGCGCCCCCATCACTTCTGTCTGAACCATGGCAGATGCTGAGGTCACGGCGCTCACCTGTGTGTGAGCCATGGTACGTGAAGTACAACCATCTGGCACTGACGTGATTAAACAAATAATCACAGCAGACGTGCGTACATAGCAGTCCCTCCCTTATCCGTGGGGCACGTGGCCAAAGCCCCAGGGACGCCTGAACCCTATCCATGTGCATCTGGAAAGGTTACCAGTAACTGGTGCTGAAACAGAGCGACCCCAACGACGTGCCATTAACATGTGTAGACATGGCCGCTCTCAGAGATCGTACCACATCTCACCACGCAGCCCGGCTCCTCCTCCTCCTGCAGGGACACGAAGGGGCCAACGACGTGGGCATGTGATTCACTGTCAGGCTGCCACTGACCTTCTGACTGCAAGGGACCTGACCCCAAGGCATGGCTGGCCGCAGGTACCCAAGCCCGCAGAATGGAGCCATGCACAGGGACTGTGGTGGTGGGCGGGCTGTCTCGGACCCTAGTTTGGTGGATGCGGATCTGCAATGCCTGGGGCACAAAGACAATAGGCTAAGGCAGGCCACACAGCCCCTAGGGTACCTGTCACCAGTGAGCGGTACCTCCAGTGACACGAGCTGAGCTGCGTTTAGAGAACCCTGGCAGCTGAACGAAGGAGAGACAGAAATGCAGGGGGGTGTAGGGTGGGGGCTGCCTGCTGGGGGCTAGAAGAGGTGTCTGGGCCCAGACAAAGGGCCTCTGACAGACATGCTCTGGACACCCCAGCTGTGGAGCACCTGTCAATGCTGACCGCAGCCTGAGGAGGCAGATTGAAAAATTCCAACTACAGTAGGGGGCATGGGGGACATGGCACAGGGGAGCACAGGGGAACACGGGGGGATGTCAGGACACGGCACAGGGAAGCACAGGGGAGCATGGAGGGACATCAGGACATGGCACAGGGGAGCACTGGGGAGCACAGCGGGACGTTAGGACATGGCACAGGGAAGCACTGGGGAGCATGGGGGACATCAAGATATGGCACAGGGGAGCACAGGGAGGACGTCAGGACACGGCACAGGTGAGCACAAGGGAGATGGGGTACACAGCACAGGGGAGCATGGGGGGGGACATCAGGACACAACACAGAGGAGCAGAGAGGGACAACAGAACACAGCACAAGGGAGCACAGGGGAGCACGGGGGGGGACGAGGGAGCACATGGCATAGGGGAGCATGGGGCAGCATGGGGACCTCCTTAGTAACACAGGTCAGGAGCTCATGTTGCTCCATCCTATTTCCCAGGACCCCTCATTACTGTGCTGAGAGAGAGCCCCTGCTGTGTCCCGAATCATGCTGGGTGTCCTGAGGTAGATTTCCAACTCCTAGAACTTAACTGCATTTGAAATAGATGTTTTTGGCAGATCCACCACTGAAGGAGCTCATAAAGAAAACATTTTGTTATCCAATTAAATGTTCTTGATAAATCCAACAAATGAACGCAGAAAAGTGGCCCCTTAAGTCTGCAGTGTGTACACATGTCTACAGAATCCAGGACTCTGGAAAAGCAATCCACCCAAATGGCCACCAGAAAATGAGCAGTCCGACATGTCACCAGTGCACCATGGCCCCTTTCTATCGCAGCGCGCTAAAGGTTTTGGACACTTCCTGGGATTCTTTTCCAAGGTTCCAAAATTTCCTACGAGCCTCACCCTCCTTTCCTTCTGCTCTGGTGAACGACCTCAGGGTCACCGCCCTGCAGACTGGGGTGCTCTCTGAATGCTGCATGTGGAGAATGATTGTCCTACTCCCTCCTTTTAGGATTCTGCTCCTGGTCCAGAGCTGTGTGAGTGTGGCACATCTCATGAGACAGCGAAGTGGATGCAAGACTGCGTCACTTCTTCAAGCTCACAGGGCAGGGGCCCAAGACCAGTGTCATAGAGGCTGTGTGTCGGCTCTCCAGCACTCCGCAGGGACGAGAAGCATCTCTTGCCACCTGGACCACGGTGCTCTAACAACCTCTCTGGGCGTGTGGGCATGGTCCATGGCATCTTCTGACACCTGGGTGTTCCTCCTGTCAGGACACGCTCTGTCCAGGTCATCCCCATGTAACCTGACACGAAGCTCCTCTGAGACCACCCACCACTGCTGCGCCTCCAGGTGATCCACACCTAGCACCCAAGTGCGCAGCACTGCCAGGTGTTACTAAGTTCTTAGGAAGATGGACTGTTTGTCCAGTCTCGGCCACTTGCCGTAGCTCCCAGGGACCCTTTCTGCTCCAAACAGAACTGCAGATGGGAGGGACACCACAATACACGTGTGAGGCCGTGCATGTTTGCGTCCCTGCCTCTCAGCTTCCAATTTTAAACCCTGTAGTCTGTGGCCCACCATGCTTCCCAAGAACCAGGAATCTGGGAGGAGGGGCTGGGGTGGAGGGTTGGCGGCTGCTGCCACTGGCCAGGACACCAGTGTCAGTGGCCTCCCTGGTAGGGCTGACGGGACCCGGACCTCTATTCTTGCACCACTGACAGCACGGCACGGCGCTCGCCAGATCCACAGTCTAAGGCTGCTCCGGCCTTCCATACCTCTTGTGGTTGAGGAGCCAGATGGAAGGCTTGAAGGCTTATTTTTATTCCTCAGAGTGATGAAAAGTTGCATTTAATGCTTTTATTTCACAGATTCCAAAACCCTCTGACGTGGAACAAGTGACAAAATCAGGGTTGCCACCTGACACACTGGAGTGTGTGTCTGCAAGATGGGCAGGAGGGCAGGGAGGCAGGTGCAGGCAGCCCTCCTCCCTGGGCCCTGTGGGGCCAGCCACTTCCTCAGACAGAAAGAAGTAGCCCTGTGGAAATGTTTTTGGAGAAGACATTTTTATGAAACAAAAACCAGCACACATACTTGCGAGATGTTTAAAAAATGGCAGAAAAAGGAACCCAAGCCCATCTGCAAACAGGGTTTGACTGTCATAAGGTCAATGAGCATCTTGCTGGTTAAGTTTGTGCTGAGGAGAACCACTGACGTTTTCCTGCTGCTGCTGAAAATAGACTGCAACGTGTTCTGCTCTGTATGCGTCCTCCCAGCGGTGGCAGTGGACATGGAGCGTGGTGCTGGAGCAGAAAGCAAGGCCGCCATGGCACCAGCCAGTGCACAGCTTCTGTCCCAGGCAGAGGCTGGCTGGGAGTGCCCAGGAGGTGCCATATTCAGTTGGATGCATGAGGTGGTTTCCTGCACTAACCCCCGGTGAACCAACGGAGAGCCCCACAGGGAGGACCTCTTTCTCAGGGGTGCTGACCTAGGCAGGGCATGAGGGACTTGGGACAGGCTAACATGTGAGCTGCTGTCATCTCTGAAGATGACTCGGAGACAGACAACAGACTGACTTACAAAAATATCTGCAGCTCTGTGTGGTTTGGTTCTCAAAGGAAATCCAGGGCCTCATCATCCTTATTCCCACCACTAAGCATATGAAGAAACAAAACCCCACTGATGAGCCCTAAAACTATTTAGCGGAGGAGCTAAGATCCTACAGTGGGCTGCTGGCCGTGACTTGGGTGGGTGGCCGTCGAGGGTGTCCCACTGGGCAGCACAGGCCGCCGGCAGCCCTGGCCCCACCCGCCCGAGGCCGGACCCTCGCCAATGACGGAGACAAGGTCTTGGCCGTCGGCCCCACTGGCGAGTCGCGGTTGGGCTTTCCAGCGCTGCCGATGCCCCGACGCATCACTCAAGGCCGCCGCATGTCTTGGTGGACGCGTCCCTGGGACACCAAGGGCGGTGCGTGAGTACGGTCGGCGCCCTGCCCCCGGCGCGCTGGCGCCCGCGGGCCTCACCTCTTTGTCCATACTCTCTAAGTCCTCCTTACACAGCGTGTACAGCGGCATTGTCTCTGACATGCTGGGCTGTCGCTTCCGTCCACTGGGGCCGGGCTGCTCTCCGGGTCGGCTATCTGGCAGCTCTTGCGCAAGCATCTGCCGCGGCGGCTGAACCACTCTGAAATGAACGTCATAGGTCCCACATGAGGAAAGTCACTTTGATGGACTCCTGACTCTTGGAGCAGGCACACAAACATACACAAACACAGCATTTTAGTTATAGGAGCCACCGTGGTCGACAGCAGCACACGCGCCTGCTCAGAGCAGAGGCTTGGCGTCGCCGCAACCTTGCCCCTGGAAGCGAGCACCTACCTTCTCCTGCTGGCATAGCACCGCTGCACTGGGTCCCTTAGTTTTATAACCAAGGGCAAAAAGTGAAGTGCTAACGAACAATTTCCTAGAAAGCCGTAAGACTTTTTTTAAGATTTTATTTATGAATATTCTTGAATAACATGAGAGACAGAAAGAGATAGAGACAGAGGGATGCAGAGACACAGGCAGAGGGAGAAGCAGGCCCCATGTAGGGAGCCCGATGTGGGACTCCATCCTGGAACTTCAGGATTACGCCCCGAGCCAAAGGCAGACACTTCACTGCTGAACCACCCGGGCATCCCGAAAGCTGTAAGACTTGTAAAACAAGGCCAACAAACCTTTGTCTGTGCTCTGCGGAACCAAGAGAAGGTGCCCAGGGCTGAAGCCAGCCAGCTGTCCACCGGAGGCAGGGGGTACCTCTCGGGATGGCATGTGCACAGTTCTGGGAAATGGTCAAACATTAACACGACAAACCGGCGAGCGTTTTCATAGTGCTCTGCCCTGGGGCCTGTCCCAGGCGGGGCGCCCTCCACGCACACGGCCTCTGCGTCCACCCTGAGCAGCCGTCCCCAGCAGTGGCTTGCTGGGCTCGGAGTCTGCACCACACCTCTGGCCCCACGGTCGTGGCCGGCCACTAGTACCCTCCCTGAGACATGGATGCTGATGCACGAAAACCTCAGGATTCTGAGAAAACATGGGGGTTTTCTGTCCAAACTCCAAAAGTGAAGAGCAGCAGCGGTGCTAGCAGCTGTGTACCCTCTGACAAAGTGACATCTTCCCCGACATCTGTGAGGGACCAGCACCCTGTGCTCCGCAGGGACACCACCACACCCGCTGACCAGCGGCCCCGATGTGGGAAAACAGCAGGTTCCTGAAGAACAAGGATGTCAGTCTTCCTTCAGAGAAGTGGGCTCAGTTCTAACCACAACCTGAAACGTGCGGACAGGGAACCCCAAGGGGCGGCTTCATCTCACAGAACGCTGCATCGGCCACCGTATTGAGGGCCCCTATGTCCCTTCACCAATGACACAGCACACTGGAGGCCACAGAATTTCTTCTTGTTTCCACCAAGGGGCAGAGGCAGCAGCCAGAGCCACAATCGCAGAACAAGCCGCTCTTCTCCTTGACTGCTTGTCCACTTGGCAAACAAGCTATTTCATTAAAGATGTGTTACTGTGTTAACACATAACAGCTTATTGTTACTGTGAATGGCATGACGGAGGTCCCGGATGGTTCGGCTCCCAGTTCCCGCATCCAGCAGGGGGACTCTGGGGCAGCAAACCCCCAGGGCAAGAGCCCCTGCCCCGACACCAGGCTGCTTGCGCAGCTCCTCCGAACGGGACCATCCCTCCAAGAGGAAGTAAACCACAAAGAGATTCACTGTCTACTCTGAATCCCAAAGTTGACATCCATCCCAGGCAGGCAGGGGGGCCTTGGGGGCTCACTCTGAGACCCAGAGAAACACAGAGGACTGACAGAAGGGGGGGGGCAGGAAGAGGAGTGGGTAACACAGAACACTAACAGGCAGACATGGAGCCCCAAGGGCAGCCTGCTCTCTCCAGTCAGTGCTCTGCTGCAGGCCACCACCACAAGCTATGTCCCCCAGGCAGAGTCTTTGGAGACCATGGCAGGTGGGGCCCAGACAAACACCCCACCTGCAGTAATGAGGCCCCCACTCCAGGCTGGGAGGTGTGAGTCAGATGTTCACCTTCACCCCGTGGTAACATGGACATCCCTCCCCCACGTCGGCGGTGACCCCAGGGGGCAGCCAGAGCCCCCATGGCCTGGCAGCAGCAGTGACACCCATACAGGTGCCAACGGAGGCTGAGTGTAGATGTGGACGTCTCCCCGTGCGTGAATGGGCCACAGTGTGTCCAGCACAGAGAAGCCCAGCACCCGGTGGGAATAAGGCCCCGACTCTCACCATGTGATGTGAAGACGTCGGGCTTCAATGGAAAATCACGGGTCCTACTGAAAACCAGGAAGGCCCCCGGCTAAATGAGAAGGGTGGTGGGGAATGGCCACTCTGGGATCCAACGCGATGGTGAAGCATGCCTACACAAGGACTGCAAGCACATGTGACATAGGTAAGAAAACCCAGTGAAAAAGCAGAAGCTATTGGGGATCCCTGGGTGGCTTGGCAGTTTAGTACCTGCCTTCTGCCCGGGGCGTGATCCTGGGGTCCCAGGATCAAGTCCTGCATTGGGCTCCCTGCATGGAGCCTGCTTCTCCCTCTGCCTATGTCTCTGCCTCTCTCATGAACGAATAAATAAAATCTTAAAAAAAAAAAGAAAAGAAAAAGAAGAAACAGAAGCTACGAAGAGCCAAGCAGAAGCTTCAGAACGGAAAACATTTTCATAGCCTCAATTTGAAAAAAAAAACAGGTGGGATGGGCTCAACTTCACAATGGAGAGGACAGAGAACATGAGGCGTGACAAGAATTGCTCCACCTGAACAACGGGGAAAAGGGAGACTGGAAAGGGAAGAAGAACGTGCTTTCTGAACACGTGAGAGGACAGGATCCGATATTTGTGTCCCCGATCCCAGGAGGAGAAACAGGAAAAGTCCTCACAGAACTAGGGCTACAAATGTCCTAAATGTGGTGAAAGACGTTCAACTTTATGATTCAAAATGTTGGGTGAAACCAAAAATGATATACCCCCAAACCCACGCTAGGACACGTCATCAAGTTTATTCTTCAAGACAAGGACAAAAACCTTGAAAACTGTGAGAAAAAGGTTCCCTGACCTACAAGAGAAGTAAAATTCCAGTGACAGGCCAAAGAGGAAACACCAACTGATATCACTACAGATAAAGCATCTGAGAAATTTAATACCCAGTCAGGATACAAACTTCCCAAAAGTCAGGAAGAGGGGAAACTCCTCCAACTTGGTAAAGAGCATCAAGAGAAAACCTAGAGGCAACATCCTATTGAAAGTGAAAAATGCAATGTTTTCACCTTAAAATCAAGAAAAGACAAAAAATATCTTTAGATCAAGGGAACAGACGGGAACCCAGAACTGACCCGCACAGATGTACCTGTGACACGTGACTCGGGCACCGAAGTGATGGACCAAGATGCCTTTTCAGCAAACAGGGTGGGGCAGAACCCACCTCCAACCCAGAACTCTCACACCTTGTGTGAAAACTCAGAATGGATCATGGCCTTAAATATAAAATGTAAAAGCTATGAAGCTTTCAGAACAAGACATGAGAGGAAACCGCTAGGATCTAGGAGCACACAAAGACTTCACAGACTTGACGCCAAATGCGTATTCATGAAAACTGCTAAGCAGAACCTAATTCATCAAAATCAAACACTTTTGCTTTGCCCAACTCTGTAAAGATAACGGAAAGCTACAGAATAAGAAAGTACCTTCCAGCCACACCATCCACAAAGAAACAGCACCTACATAAAAAACGTCAAACTCCACCAACCATCCAGCTCGGAAACGGCAGAGATACGCAGACACTTCGCTGCGGGGGTGCAGAGAAAGGGGGTCTGTTACAAAATCAGGCCCACACCCTGCATACAGTGGTCCCACCACTGGGCACTGGTCTGCACAAGTGCATGCAGCGGCAGGCCTATGTCCTTGTTGGCCCATGGCAGGCCACACCCAGGTGTCCTCCGGGGGTTCCCCTGGCACAACGCTGCTCGGTCGTGGGAGGTGGAACTGCAGACAGAGGGCCAGCAGTGGGCCGATTGGGGGCCACGGACTACAAAAGCCTGTGAGCAGGGCACTGACCGAAGGCCAGGAGGGGCCAGGAAGGGGTGATTCTGTGTCCCTGACCCCCTGGTGGGGAGGATGGCCTGCAGGTCTGCACACTGCTATGGCCCAGCAACCTGGGGGAAGGGCACACAGGATCTCTCTCCGACTGCTCACATCTGCCTGCAACCTCAAAATAGAACTTGTAATTAAAAAAACGCACAAACATTCACAGCTAATGGCATATAGTAACCATGAGGTAAAGAATCAGAATCCTGAACTCTGTCCTTGCAGGGAAGCGAGCTCAGGCTGACAGTGTGGTGAGTTCCTGTGCCTCCCCAGGGTCCTGGCTGCTCCACTGCCCACCCCCGGACCAGGACCAGGACCAGGACCAGGACCATCCTGAGGTCACTGCATGGGGAAGCCCGAGGTTTGGGCCCGGTCCTGTCCCTCCCAGCTTTACCCCCCAAGTGGGCGAGGTGTATGGTTCCCCTCTCTTCCTTCTCTCACAGAGAAGTGCCCTCGTGCATGCAAGCACCGGGACAGCCCCCAGGGAGCCAGCACCCCCGCCCAGAATGAGAAACACCAAAGCCAGAAGGACAGACACTCACGGTTCTCTGGGCCTCTCAAGTCAGACAAGCACACGGAAGGGCATCAGTGCTCTCTGCCCCAGGCACCCTGTCACAATGGGGCCTACCCAGGGTTCCGGGGTCAGAATGGGGCTGTGCCAGCACCCCCAGGCTCTACTTACTGCAGCCCTCGGCATGCAGGAGCAGGGGGACCAGAGCCTCGAGGGGCAGCTGGCGCAGACCTTGCAGCCTGAGGTTCCCAGGACATACCAGTGTGGACACCTCACATCTGTGAGGGCTGATGGTGCAAACAGAGGTGGCCTGGAGGTGCCTGGGTGGCGGCATGTGGACAGGTGGATTAGGGACACGGGTGTAGGGTACAACATGAAACCAAATAAATGGGAGCTCTCGCTCCAAACAGAAAGGGGGCCCTTACTCTGCCACAATGATGAATTGCAGGGGGTCTTTCTGCCTATTCAGGCGCCCATGAGAGTGTGCCCCAGGCCCTGCCCTCTTTCCTCTCAGTCCTGGACTGCTGCGGGGACAGGGGCCGCCCCTTTTGCATACATGGGTCATTTCTTTCGCTAGTTTTAGAACAGAGAGTTTCCTACACACAAGTCAGGAAGGAGATGACGCCTACCATCACAGTGGCGGGTTATTTGGAATGAGCCTCAGATGGCCCTGACGGGATAACCACTAGCCTGAGTTCATCGACGGTGCTAACATCCTCTGTATGCCCATGCAGCCTGGCAATAAGTCAATGAGTATTTTGGTGGAAATCATACTTCTAAGCTCACAACAAACAAACAAACAACAACAAAAATTGCATCAGAGCCACCTCCAAATAAACTACCATGCAAGTGTGTGATTTCCTCCAAAAAGACGGAGCTGAAAGGCTTGTTATTCTGTTCTCTCAAGCCGCTGTGCCACTATTCACAATAATCATACACATTTCTGAGCAAAGAGGTGGTAATCTGCTGTGAGTGTTCTATGTAAGGGCAGCACTCAGCTGTGTTCCAGGGCAGCCTATCACTGCAAGTGTTTCCAGACAACACTTAATTACTTCTCCCCCCCTCCACACTGCACAAACTCCTGACCTACTGCCACTTACTCCAGGCAAGCCTGAATAATCCCCAAAGCATCTTTGAACCCAAGTTCTAAACATTCCAAATGTTTGTTCTTTATGCTTAAGAGAATTAACTCAAAGATTGGTGATCTAACTTTCAGTAGTAAGAAAAGCAGATTCTAAAAAGCAGGAATCACTCACATAAACGTCTGCACAGCACTGATTTTGTGATGGCTTTCGGTGACATAAGGTGACTGTAAGCTGACTTTAGTGCTCTGAGCGTGCTGGGGTTTAATGCACAGCTTCACGCACAGAGAGAATCCGAACCACATGATGGTCACCACAGCAGCGCAGAGCCTCACAGAGGAGGATCTAGTCCCCGTGATGGAAGCCCATGTCATAAACTGCGGCACCGCTTCCCTCTCAGGCTGTCTGGGCCATGAGCATGGCACGGCGGCCTTGGGTGGGCTGCCAACTCTAGTCGACGAGCACAGACATGAGGGAGGGCTGTCTGCCCCACGATGACTTACGGAGGATGGCTGGGCCATCAGACCCAGTACCTGAGTCAGAAGCCCCAGATTCACTGCAGCCCCCGACCCCTGTCCCACAGTCCATGGTCCCCCTAAACCGGACCTGGGGCCACCATCCATCCACCCAGGGTGCAGGGACAGCATAGCACCCCTTGCTACCCTTCATGGCTCGGCTGCCTTGGCTGAGCCTGGCCTTGGGGACCCCCACATAGAGGGTCACAGCGCTGCCCATGTGAGACGACAGGAAACCAGGGGACCCTCCTTGGGATGCTCCCCTCACCCCAACTGTATAAACACTTCTCCACAAGAACCATGAAGTGAGGAAGGAGGTCACCACAGTGCCCCTCAAGCCAGGGGTCCAGATGTCCACTTCCCGCCCACGACAGCACCTCTTTCCAGCATCCCACGAGCGTCTTGTACAAGCAGGAGCCACGACTCAGGAGGAACCGGGCAGCATCCCTGCAGGCCACCAGGGCTCCCACCAGCCCATCCCTTGGCGTCAGTGTCACAGAGGCTCCGCCCAGGACACCACCAATGGAGCCGAGCTTGCCTAGGCTCAGCATAGGACAAGCTGCACAAACCAGCTCTTCCAGCAGGAGGGACACATGGCCCACTTTGCCAGCACCACGGGAACGGCAAGCCATACTCCCAGCCTCTGCCTGGCTCAGCACCTCATCTCTGCGTACCCTGGCCTGAACTGTCTGCAGCTACAAGGGCTTTCTCAAGCAGCTGTCCCCGTGCACCTGCCAGCACCTGAGAAGTCAACTCTCACCTGGCCTGCGGTGACCCTCTTCCCTCTTGTCGCCATCCCCCCCCCCCCCCCACCTCCTCCATGGCTCACATCCTGCCAGGGGACCCGGACACTGCCCACCTTTCCGTGCACGCACGCCGTCCACATGGCACCTGCTGCTGCCTCTTAATGTTCACCTCTGTCCATGGCCTGAGAGGTCTCAACAGCCTACTCTTTCTTACTCAGGTAATCGTGCCCTCTTCAAAGGTCATAACCCTGCTGTACTTCTAGCAATTAAAACCACCTGCTTTCATCCTTCTGCTACATGTAAATACATTTGAGATATAAACTTGGCTTGTATCACATAGTAGCGTCTAATACCTAGGAGTATTGTAATTGTACTTTGTTAACATCAGCGTCAATATTACCAGTTAATAACATAAAATGTATATTCTCACGCTATATGTACAAAACAGGTTTTCTCTCTCTCTCTCTTTTTTTTTTAATTCTTTAGTTGTTTTTAGGTCATCTCTGCACTCAACATCAAGATCAAATTCATAATCTGAGATCGAGTTGCATGTTCTACTGAGCCAGTTAGATGCCCCTTCTCCTTGTTTTTTTAAAAACCTAACTACCATGCGCTCATCTAGTTTTCTACTATCCAGCCTGTATCACAGGTTATGGGACCTGAGGATCTGTTTCTCCCTGTTTTGGAGAAATTCCAGAGATGAAGTCCATACATTGATCTGCCCCCGCCCTGGGACTGTGTACCGGTCCCAGCTCCTCCTCATTTCTGTTTACAGACTGCACAGTTTTCTTTAAAGATTTTATTTATTTATTCATGAGAGACACAGAGAGAGAGAGACAGGCAGAGACGCAGGCAAAGGGAGAAGTAGGATCCATGCAGGGAGCCCGATGTGGGACTCGATCGCAGGTCTCCAGGATCATGCCCCGGGCTGAAGGCTGCACTAAACCACTGAGCCAACGGGGCTGCCCGTCTGCACATTTTCTACTGTCTTCCAGTTAATCTTAGATTGGGATTTTTCAGTTCTGGAACATGCTTCTGTTGAGGCTACAAGCCTCTGCTGAAACCCTCTACGTCTCCCCCATTTGCCTGTCCCACATCATTGAGCAGTTACTCGAAAGGCCCTGCCCACTTCTCTGGGACTCCGTCCCAAGCCCCAGCCTGGCTTCGCTCCACCCAAGCCGGGCCTAGGAGAACGAGTCCAATAAAAGGTGTGCCACGTGCCACAGCCACACTTCAGGGGTGCGCTCTGAGGGGCATCGGTCAAGGGGGTAGGCAATCGTCTACACTCAAGCAGACTGAGTGCCCATGTCCTGTGCTTGACGGTCAGCACTGAGGTCACCGCCTAGGAGCAGTCTGCCAGCTGTTCTGGCCTCCCCGTTCCTGCCCAGCTCTCTCCCCCTGGAGCATCTGTTCACATCTGCCTCTACCTGGATAGCATCCCAGGTGCTGGGTTGGGGCGAGGCTCCCCTCATGCTGCCGTGGCCACCAAGAGACCAGAGAAGCCAGCTGTCCATCCCCAACAGCTCCAGGGCTATAGGTTCCTCACACTGCCGTGGCAGCCTCCGGCAAATTGGTGCCAGATACCTGTGTAACAGCCCCTGACACGTACTTTGTCAAAAGCACCTCTACAACCTCCATTAATTGTGACCTTGCCTCCACTCGGGCCCAGTGCCCACCCAGACCTCATGGGAGTGGCTCCCTGGGCCTGCTGCCTCCATTGACCTGGTCCGACACCTCACTCCCCAGAGCCTGGAGATGCGCATGTCCCTGTGGGTCCCTGGGGCAGCACTTTGCCACCCTGCCCACCCACGGGCTCCCTTTTAAACACAGTGTGCTCAGAACTGGGGTGAGCTCACCATCTTACACAACGTTTCAGCAATAAAAATGAACGTTCATAACATAGAGAACGTGTCCTGAAATAAACGTCTACACATCTTCAGAGTAAGAGAGTAGAAGGCAGGACTGACCCAGCGAGGGCTCTCTCTCTCTCATATTCCTGTTTCCAAGCAGCCACTGCCAGGCCCTCCCTCAGTCTGATCTGGGCCAGAAGTGGACGGGGTGCCAGGAGTGGCCCAGCTGGCTCCTCCTCTTCCTGGGGTGTGTGTGTGTGTGCACCCATCTACACACCAAGTGCCTCCTCAGAGACAGCAATGGGTAAGTACGAGCACGTGAGCATGCCTGGCACATGCAGAACATCTCTCAGGCTGGAGCCCAGCCCTACCTGTTCCAGTGTTGGGGACCAAGACAGCACAGAATGTGCAAGAGGCCCGACACCTAAGTGGGTAAGGCCAGCCCCAACTTCATGTCCCACCATCATAGCCTCTGGTCTGCTCTCAGTGAGCATGGCAGCGTGAAGCGCTCGTGGGCACCCCTCTGCTGCATGACAACTCGCAGGCGCATGTACCTGAAGGAGGAGTGCTCCGTGTGCACCGCCAGGGAGCCAGGGGGCCCAGGGCCCACAGCACCTTTCCGGATGAGCTTGCCCGTGTTGGCGTCATAGATGCGAACTTCCGGCCCTGGTTGGGTCCTGGGGTGGACGGGTGTCGGGTGGAACAAGGCAGTGGGAAGTGCACCCTGCCTGTCAGGAAAGGCTGCTGGGCCGTCTTCTCTGTGGGACCAGAACAAGAGCTGTGAGAAAGTGTGGAACAGGCTCAGGCCCAGCTGAAGGGCTGCAGATCAAGAGAGCAGACTGCTGCATGCCCATCCTGGAACCTCAGCCCGAGTCTGCGATCACTGCCTCTCTGCTTCGGAATCTTAACCCTGAATACAATGTCCGAACTCTTGACAACAGGAAGAGTTTTCTGAAGCTGTTCCCGAAAAAACAGGCGGCTCTCCCCCCAAACACACAGAGCGGGCCTTTCCCATAGCTCCACCTTGACCCCTTAAGCTCTGAGCACCCCTCGCTCTGGTCACCGTCTCCCGGCCACCAGCACCCCACAAAGCCTCAACATCGTTCCTGATGCTGCTCCAGGCCAGGAAGGAAATGCAGGCAAGCCAAGCCTTGCTGCTAAGGCCATTTGGCATAACTGGGAAAGAAAGCAACTGAGGTGGGGGTGACAACGTTTTAGGACAGTCTGGGGGTGGGAGTACCCATGGTGATGGGAAGGCAGGTAGCAGGCAAGGTGCTCACCTCTGTGCTCGGCCATAGTCGTCCCTGAGAGGGAAGAGCTGCTCCTCCACCCTGTCCCAGCGCTCCAGGCAGCTCCATAGCCAGTCGGGGTTGACCACATGCAGCTGCCCACACTCCTGGGCCTGGCGCACCTTCTCTGTGCCTGCAGAGAAATGACCCCCATCACTCCAGCCTGGGCCACAGGCATGTGGCAGCTGTGGACTGTTGAGTCGGGCTCTGAACCCTGCCTGAAACTGGAGACTTCATGGTGTCATGGGGGGGGGGGGGTGTCGGGGTCGAGACCTGATGGAAGGCCACGGGGAGGGCAGGAATCTGACAACCACAGCACACCAACCAGCAGTCACCCGTCCATTTCTGTGGGCAATTCCCATGGCCTGTGCCCTGCAAACAACTGCTTGGGACGTCTTCCCCATGACCACAAGCTCAGCATGTGCAAAGGCTCCGTCACTGCTGTGAGCTCAGAATACTGCACAGGTGCCTCTCCCGGTGCATCTTGTCTTGGTTTCTCTGCTGGATGCTCAGGGCCCCACCTAGCCCCATCTGCCAAGGTCACCTGGTTACCACACTGTGAGAGCCAGCTGACTCCTGAAAGGACAGCGGCCACGGTGGAGCCCAGGCAGGAGGCACCCTTAGGCTGGGCTATAAGCAGGCCGAGCAGAGGATGGGAGTGAGGCCTGGGTGTGCCCCTGGTGTGCACATGTCTGTGTCCTTGGAAAGACTCTTTAACAGCTGGTGAGGACCCCTGTCCCACCTACTGCAAGCGTAGACTGCACTGTGCTGTGAGCAGGGGGGCAAAGGTCAGGCCAGCTACTGGCACTGTCAGCGGCGGGACCGGGCAGAGGGGAGGACAAGGGGCTGGGCACCCAGGCCGGGGTCGGAAGCCACAGGTAGAGGGGTGAGCCTGGCCACTCCTTCCCCGTGCCCCGGGCTCAGCACATGTGGAATTGCCTGAGTGTTGCCACAAGCTTGCATCTGTCTTCCAGTGAGTCTGCCCACATTTCACACCAACATGAAGCTTCTATTTGTTCCTTTATGCAAAAGGCACGTGGGACGTGATACACGTGGGATCAGGGTGAGGAGGCAGTGACCTGGAAGGCCTGGCTCCGCAGGTGCATGCCTGGGAGGAGCAGGGGCGGGAGCAGCCAGGGATGGGCTGTGTCCAGGAAACACCGCACCACTGCTTGTGAGGACCACTTAAGAATAGTAATTGCTTAGTTTTTTGTTTTCCTAGCAACACTGTCTTAAGTGTTTGTTCCTGATCTGCCAGTTCCTAGGGGGCTGTTTTCTTGGCTGAAATTCCAAGATTTCGGGGGGGGGGGGCGCTTTCCTGCAATGACTTCAGTTTTACTTTCATAGCTTCAACCATTTAGGACGTATCTGGTTCCAGCTGGAACCTTCATGCTCAGCCCCCAAGTCAGAGGCTCAGCCGACCACCTCCTGGGTACCTGGGCTCCAACACGAACTTCCCACCCTGCTCTGCACCCAACCATGTGCACCTCCGAGTCCAGGCGGAGGAGACTGACGACACAGAGCACACGGCAGCAGCACACCAACAAACCCAAAGGTGCCGCACCCATGCTGAGTGATGCCCATGGACAGCACCCGCCCAGCACTTGCCCACACAGACCCCCACACAGGCAGACACAGAAGTCACAACGTCACCAACATATAATCATGAGGGGACGCTCACAAGGATGATGCTTATGAAAACTGCACAAGTAGAACAAATAGCCATGCCCTCTCAAAGCCGCCGTGTCAGGCGGTGCAGACCCACCCTGCCGGGAGGTCTTCTCTGTGTCCTCCCCACCTAGGCAAGAAGGAGAGTGGGGGCACCGGTGCACTTACCTGCACGTGCCGCGATCAGGTGGGTGGCCCTGTCGGGGTTGTCGGGGTCCAGCACTAGCTGAGTGAGGATCTTGGCTCCAAGGGCCGTGGCATGGTAATGCTCCCGTGTCTTCTCGATCGGAAAATTTGTTGGGTGTAGCCCACTAAATATTATGGCAACGTCTGCCAGCACTCTGCTCTTGAGCTCTGGGACGATCTTCCTTATGTCGGGGGCTTCCTGGCTGTCCCCACGGAGGTACCGGTCATATTTGGCATAGTAGTCGGAATGCACTCGGGCAAGGATCTCCTCCAGGTAGACCAAGTGGTCGTCCTCGTCCCCGTCGTCCTCGTCATCTTCCTCTTCCTCCACGCTCTGGTCCAGAGACTCGCCCGCCGTGATGCCCGACTGCTCGCTGTTCTGCGACTCCGTCTCGGCTTCCTTCCTGTCCATGGAGCCACTGGCCAGCCCGCACAGGCCGTCCCGCTCGCCCTCCTCCTGCACGTCTGGGGCTGACTCTGCACATGGACTCACTCCTGTGGGCCTCTCCCCTCCTGGGCCAGAGGGGCCGCCCCGCTGTGCCGCCTTTCCTGCATCTCGTGCTCCTTGAGGCCTTTCTAGGCTTTTCCCCTCCCCGCTTTCACCATCAGATGACTGGGCGTCTGATTCGCTGTCGCTGGAGAGGTCAAAGTCCAGGTCACCACTGGCCGTGCCCTGAGCAGGTCGCTTTTCCGGCAATGTCCGACCATGCTGCTGAGCACAGGCGGGGGGCCCCTTGCCATCAGCCAAGGGGCCACGGGTAGTGGGCCGGGCTCCTCTCTCCTCCTCCTGCCCAGGCAGGGGCCAGTCCCCTCGTGGAGAGGCGCCCCCATTGAGCTCCCTCATGGGCTTCCCAAGGCCATTACTTTGCTCAACCCCAGAAACCTGCCGTCCTTCCTCGATCTCCCTGATGGACGGAGCTTGTTCTGGGCCATCAGCACCTCTTGAAGACTGATTTACTGCAGGTGTGCACAAAACAAAGGGTGACTGTTACATAACATCCAACATGAACCCCCTCTCCCATCCCCTGTGTTTGTCTCTAGACCTGGGCTCAGCAAACTGCAGCTGTGAAGGCAAATGTTTAGGTTTCTGGCGACAGATGGTCACTGTGTTTTGGTTTTCACAACTGGTTAAATGTGTACAGGACGCTCTAGGCTCCCATGCTGTGGGTGGACACCCTGCGGGAGGCCTCGTGACTACAGCAGTCACTGTAGGCTTCAAACATCGTGTCTACAAACTAAAGATCATCAGAAACACTTCACACCAAAACTTTACATTTTCTTCAGACAGACTCTGGCTTCACACTTGCCCAATAGATTAAGCTGTGTGGCTCTCTGCAGGCTCTGGGCCAACGCACAGTGCCAACCACCAGCTTGCTGGAGCTGCTCCACCCCACAGCTCACTCTTTCCAAGGATCACGATGGCCAAATTCCCAATGTCCTGCTTATCTTTTAAGAGAAACCAGTATGACAGGGAGGAGTACTATTTAAAAAGAAAACCCCAAGTGAGAACCAAACATTGTGCTTTTCATTATTTTATCATGAACACAGACAGGCAGCTCTGTAAGTACTGAAATACAAAGGAACAGAAACAAAGTGAGCCTTTGATGGCAGCTGCCAACAGGGGCTGCTGGGCAGTAGGCTTTCACCCACCTTTCCTTCTTGCCTGGGACTCCCGAGACCCAGAGGGAGCGTTGATGTCTCCTATGCCCTGGAAGTAGACGTATTTCTTCACGGTGATCAGATTGGGGGCAAACTTCCAGACATCTTCTCGATCATCAATGATGCAGACCATTGAGTCTCCACAGGGAAAGAGATTTCTAGAAGTAAAAACGTACCAGAACTAGCATATTTTGCAAGAAAATAATCTGTTAGAAGTCATGACAATCTTTTCCAGGCAGCAAGCAGATTATGGATTAGACAGAAACAGATGGGAATGACACCGAGGGACTTTGTTTAGCTCATATTTAAACTCTCAAAGCTTCCAGACAAAGCAACGTTAAAATAACTCCGCTTTCTCCACTGTCTCTGATACTCCTTAAGGCAGGAACCAGCACATGTTCCTTATGGAGCCACAGTTTGGAGTTTAGAGTGTGGGGGCTGTGTCCACGTTCTAGGAAGCTGGCACACAAATGGTCGTGTCCCAGGACATTTACAAATACAGGTGACAAGCCTGTGAGCCAGTCTGCAGGCTTCTGCTTCACAGCTGAGGGTTTTCAGGTAATGGGGGGAAGAGACATGACCATATATCTCCACCGTGAGAAATAAACCACGGTTTCCTGCAGTGCACCTACGTGCTCTCAAGTCCAAGAATGCTATTAGAATATACAGGGTCAGCAGAAACAGTAGCAAGGGTTCGCCATGGGACAGACGCAGACACGCTCTGTTACCCGCACACAGGCTTGTAAATTCTATTTCTATCTACAATTCTGGGATTCAGACAGGCTGCTAGCATTCAAAATTCAAAACGGATTTCTTCTTGGATCTGGAAATAACCTGGGAGGACTACCGGCCCCTGCTGAGTCCCCTAGTTGCGAATGGCTACAATTACCCAGGAAAACATGTTCATGTGTCCAAAATTAGTATCTCCTGAATCTGTTTCCCACAGGTAAATAAAAGGCAGCTAAAATAACTTGCACAGTCGAAACTTTCTGGCATATTGACTCCAGATGAGGGAGAGAAAAACTAGGAAGAGCCCCATTGCCTGTACCTATACAAGCCACATCACCTGTGTCTGCCGGGGAACAGGCCGCTCCCCTCTGGCGTTCTCACTGGGGGTAGGTAGCTTCTCCCTGAATCTATCACTAGATGGATCTGTCTTCATCACTGATCACCGTGACAGTAACTAGGACACACGAGGTTGGTTTCCGAAGCAAGTACTTTCACGTTCTCCTCTGGGTTCCTACGGCCTTGTGTGCCCACATCCTAAATCTGAAACAGGAAACGCTGGACAAGGACGACCAACACCAGCCAAAGCCAGGGCCCCAGTGTAACTGCCCAAATATCCTCAGGGACCAATGTGCATGAAAACAAGTGTACCCTACGGGAGGGAGGGAGTGTGTGTGGGGAGATGGATGGACTACCTTTCTGGGTAGAAATGGGAAAATTCCTTGCACAGAGTGAACAAGAAATTTCCAAACATGTACAAGAGCCTGTGGATTGGGGGTGGGAGCACCCTACTGTGAAAGCAGGGCAGGCAGGGGCAGCAGGTGCTGGACAGGAATGTAACCAGGGGCAGATGGGATGGTGACAGATCTGGGAGTGAGCCAGCAGGATTAGTGCATGCACACTCCTAGGGAAACAACCATGAGACACCAGCACCAAGTTCTTGGAGGAGCTCTGGGTCCCTTTGCTCGTCACCTCCCACTCTGCCCTGCCCTAGCCCTGATCTCAGCACCCCTTCCTCAGACCCTGGGGGAGCCCACCGCTGCCTGGATGCTTGGGGATCTGAAGGGGAAGAGGCTGGGCGACAAGACAGCAGGGTTTCTGAGCGCTGTGAAGATAAAGCCAGAAGCAGGAAGAATAAACACAGAAGGGGATGCCTGGGGGGCTCAGTGGTTGAGCGTTTGCCTTTGGCTCAGGGTGTCACCCTGGGGTCCTAGGATCAAGTCCCCCACCAGGCTCCCCATAGGGAGCCTGCTTCTCCCTCTCCCTATGTCTCTCATGAATAAGATCTCAAAAAATAAATAAATAAACAGAATTACTGGATTACCAGCCTGATGCACTTTCTGCCTCAATGAACACAGCCAAGTACGTACCTGAGGTTCCCTGTTTTAGAAAACGGGTCAATACATTCGTCCCTTGATAATATTCGATGAGAAAAAAGCTTCTTCTCAGGGTCCAAAAAGCCTTTGAAAAGAAAACAGAACAATGGTGAGACATATGACCAGCCGATATTTTCCCCCAGGGAGCTTGCCGTCTTGGGCAATGGACACATGAGCACATGATTTCCGCCCAGCATGTTCCATGAGGGGCTCTGGTTGCCAGCGCATGCAGCTTCCCTATGCCTTCGGCTGTCTGCACCAGGCACCTGGGCAGCCTGTCTCCCTCACAGACATGTTTACCATGTTCCCTGGAGATCTTTTTACGGTTCGTCCTGTTGGCTCTGTGAACGCACGGCTGTCAGGCGGCACGCTGAGCAGGGAAGCCTCCCGTCCCCCTCCTCCAGGGCCACCTCTGGTGTTCACATCTGTGGGGCCCCCACCCCCCCCTGTCATCAGCAGGTGCTAACAGAGAACACGCACTCTGAGGGGAAATATTCCCAACATACGTTCCCCTAAATAAACACACGGATCCTATACCGACGCTGATGCCACTGGGCAGCTAAACCTGAAGCTCACTCACAGAATTGTCTCTACAATGAAATAAACGAAAAGCATCCCAGGCTCTTCATAGTTCTAACAAAAATAGGTCTATCCAACTTATACCAAAATTACACGTTCTGTGAAAATGACAACTTTCAAAACAAAGTGGACAGAAAGAGGAATCTGTAGAAACCATGGCAGGGCCTCCAGCTGCACTGTCAACAATCACATCCACCCCTGGCACCAAGCTCGATTCTCCTGCCCCAGGGCTTTTCTGAGCCAGTGACCTGCCCTCTGAAGGCCCACCCAACTCACAGCCCCGTGGGGCACTTGTCCTGGGATTCCTCCCAAATCTACTATGTGCGACGCTGTGGCCAACGCTGGAGGCGGCCACCTGGTGGCTGTGGGACCCCTGGCCTGCCATGTGTCTGGACATGTAGGGACATGAGGATCCTAAGGTACAAAGCACAGCCTGAAAGGGGGGGAGGAGGCAGACCGCCCAAGGGCCCCTGGGAATGTCCTCTCAACCTCCAGGGGCACCCCACCCTGGCCCTCCTATCAGAATCAGTGGTATCTTCACTACCCTGTAGGCCCTGTTGACCGAGATTCAGAGACGCCACGGCTCTGGAGGTGAAGGCTCAAGTCACCCGGCGGCCAGGAGGCAAAGCCCAAAGGGTGCACACGAGTTCCATGGAGTGGTGACACCATGTTCAAATCACATTCCCAGCAGCCGCTCGACAAAGGCAAATACAGTGACTTCAGTTACACAACAAGGGAACCTTGACGCACGGGTGTCACGCTCAGGATTAAAATTTCCTACAAAGGTTACATGTTAAATGGGGATTCAAAAGAACGTTTCCATTGACAAACGTCAGGACTAACCTGCAAAAACACTTCTACTTAGAAGTACTTTACTTAATCTGGCCACCCCGTAACAAAGAAGGAGGTGCCGGACCACACTGTAATGCAGGCACCAACGTCCACAGATAGAGTGGACCAGAGCCCAGCGGTCCCTGGGTGGAGCCGCTGCCGGTGTGCAATGCCTTGTGGCCCAGGAAGGCCTGTGCACACACGCCACACCAGTGTGGCCAGCCCAAAGCCATCACATTATTCGCTCACAAACGAGATGTGTGCTGCCTGCACTTGAGGGGTTAAGGACGGACACTAGCAATGTGGCTCCAGGGGCACTTCCAAACGAATTAATAAAAAAACTTTAAGCTCAGAGAGCCACTTTCTACTCTTCTGCCTACTTGCAGTCCTGAGCAACTTTCAAACGGGCTTGCAGTGTGCTCCTCACCACAGCCCAAGCGGCCCACCCATCTGGGGAAGCAATAGCTCGCTCTGAGACAGAGTCAACTTTGGCAGAGCTGGATTTTCTCCTCCATCTTTAAGGGTGTCACCAAAAGAAAGAAATAACCCAAACCCATATGGACAACGTGCAGTTAACTCACGACTGAGGATGGGTGACTTAGGACCAGACCACCCACCTGCAATGGTGTGGGCATACAGCCGGCTCCCAAAGGTGAAGACATGAAGCTCGTACAGCCTGGCAATCTTCTCCAGGAACTCCCTGCAGTGGGGACGCACGCGGGTGTGCAGCATTGGCTCGCCCCGGCCCAGCTGGAAGTGGAAGATGCCCTGGAAGGACACACACGTCTGGTGAGAAGGCCGGAGCCCCCCACAAGACCCCTCCTGACAGTGCCCCCCACGGTAACTACCGTCAGGGCGGCCACCCACCCATGGGACTTTCACATAACCAACAGCCCAGAAACCACCTACGAGGACTGTACCACCTTAGGTGGTTCAGGACAACTAAGGGACCCCATTATCACAGGCTGCAGCAATGTCACCAGATCTTTGTGCTCTTTTGTCTGTGGCCTTTTTCTGATAAGGGATAAAGCAAGTGTCCCTGAGTGAAGACATGCGTGTCTCTGGTTCCTCAAACACTAACCCCTGTGGAGTAGCAGAGCCACAGCAGGTGAGACCCACTGAAAGGACAAACCACGCAACTTAGTCTAGATCACTGTTTCAAGATGCAGGTCAACTTACAAACACTGCACCAAAGCTGACGTAGTATTCCAAAGCCCCACAGTAGACACGGAACATTAGTAATACCAACCTGCTTAGATGCGATTAATACGTGAATTAGTTTACTTTCCTAAGGAGGCTAAACTTTGATCTTCTTAATCCTGTTTAATGTTAATTTCCTTGGTAAAAACACTCAACTAAAAAAAAATAAAGTAAGTGACCTTGGTCCTAATTAACTTTTTAATAGCCCTACTCTAGTCAAACCTGGCAGCAGATGTTAAAACATCTGTTAGTGTAGAATTCTAGAATCACATTCCCCTATTCCACAGGTGCAACAGAAACATCCTTACAAACACAAGTCTGGATCTCTAAAGTTGGGAGTTAAATGCATCTGTCTAGATGTCACTGGCAGGTGGGTGAGCACCTGAGTGCCAGTGGGAGCCCAATGGGAGCCAGGCCTGCGGGTGAGCCGTGAGCAGAGGGGAGAATGGAACCCACCATGGCCAGCTGAAGCTGAGGCCTGTCCACACAGGCAGGGGCGGGGGTCTTCAGCTTGTAGATCACACAAGCTGAGGAAACAGGCACGTCACAACCAGTCCAAACGTTTATGAAACTAATTAAAAGTGCCAACTTCAAAGGCACAACAAAAACCCCAGCCAGTTGTGAAATAGACACACGGCCACATACGTGCGGCAAGTATCTCTTTACACAGAGTCCCCCTGACTCTCACTCAGGAAGCAGAACAGCTGTTAGGAATGAAACGACCTCATGTCGCTCCCACACATGAATGATCTCCCGATATGACCAACAGCGCACACAGCTTTTAGGGAGACAGGACTAAACCTCTGCGAGAATGAATCCATGGCACACTGCAGCTCTGAGAGGAGCCCCTGCCGCCTGCAGTGTGCGGTGAGGGAGGAGACCCCCAGTGCCTGCGGGACTGAGGGAGAGGGTCCACATGGATGCTGCACTGCCGAGGCTCTTTACGAAGCCAAACTTCCTGCAGGCCATGTTAGTAACACAACCCTGAGACACACCGCTTCCACCAGATGCTGGGCCCAAACCTCTCCTGTTCCTATGTCCCCAGCCATGGGCCTGGCCTTGGCACTCTCCTCAGAGGCCTTCCTACAGGCTCTGCCATAGTTAGGAACCGCTAACCGCAGATGCTGACGACCTGACCTCTGACACAGTCTACGCATCGATGGCCCAACAGCGAAGAATTCTACAAACTGAGGGCTCCCGTGTTGGCAAGGCCTCATTAGTCAATGACAGGATCGGCCAGTCCAGCCTTCAGAGAGCCATGTGTCACTGGGCACTATTACATGCCTCCTGAAGGTGCCTGAAGAAATCTGGCTTCTCAGGGTCCATGTCACACAAAGAGGTGGGACGTGGCAACAGTTTTAACTGAGATAAGGGTCCATTCTCAACCCTTTACTTTTCTCTGAAAACTTCATTTCCCTGGGGAACCCCAGCCTTTATTTGCCATCTCTTGAGTCCAGATCCAGGACCCACCTGTACCCCTACCCTCAATGCTTCAGAGATTCCTAGAGGTTCCTAACACCAGCTCCTTGTCCCCACCCAGACTGTGTCTCCTTGGCTGCCAACACCACTGCCTGCCGCTGGGCCTCAAGGCTTCCAGGTCCCGAACCCCAAAGGGAGCCAGGAGGCGGGAGCATGCTTTGATGCCTCCCAGTGAGACCCAGCTTGGGGAAACCACCCCAGACACATGGGCCTTGGGCTCCGGCCCCTCCTCACCAGCCCGGCCCAGGAAGCACTCACTTTGTTCGACATCTGCTGGCAGTGCTGCTCGGTCGTGTGGATCAGCGTCTGGTCCAAGTCCACCATGAGCACCAGCTTTCTGTTTCGATGTAGACGCTGCTGGTCTTCCCTTCCCAGCTGCTCAGCTTGCTGAAGTTAAAATAAAAAGGAAGATTCTGACGTGAGTATATCTGCACCCAAAACCAAATCCAATTTTGTTAGTCAAACAAACGCAGTTGAGGTGTTGGCCGCTGCCCTCTGGACCACGCCAGCAGCCCCACCGCGCTCACACTGCACAGGGAGCCACACGGCCTGCTCCGTGGCTGCCCAAGCTGCTTCTGTTTGGTCCCAACTACTGAAGACATGATTTGTGACCTAATTCTATAATGTAACATGTTAACTCATGAAAAAGGAGATGAAAAGAAAGCTGTGTCCATAAAGGTTTGATGGGATGCCACGAGCTGTAAAATGGAGGGAGGAGGGCAGCCAACTGAGGAGCAACAGGCAGGTGGCAGGGGTGTGGCACACCTCTCACCATGCTTGAAGGCACCACCCCCCATGGGACAGACCCAGGGGGGGTCCTGGAGATGGCGGGCACGCAGTGGCGTCTGGGGCCAGCACGGGGCCAGCACGGAGCCTCCTCCGGGAAGGGGCCTTGGCCTGCGCATTGCTTATGCCTCCTTGGCTCAGTTCCTGTTTTTATAGACAAACCCCTGGTCCTGATCAGCCAGCCATAGGACTGCGACGTCCAGCCCTGGAAGGGTTGTGCACACAGGCCAGCGATAATCTGTCATGGCAGCAACAATGGGGGACACTTTCTTCTCTTTTTATCTGACTTCCCAGTTCTGTCTGTCTCACTCACTCACACGCTTTTTTTAAATTTTTAATTTTTAAAAAATTTTAAAAAGATTTATGATAGACAGAGAGAGAGAGAGAGAGAGAGAGAGAGAGAGAGAGGCAGAGACACAGGAGGAGGGAGAAGCAGGCTCCCTCGGATGCAGGAAGCCCGATGCAGGACTCGATCCCGGGACTCCAGGATCGCACCCTGGGCCAAAGGCAGGCGCTAAACCGATCAGCCACCCAGGGATCCCCCCATACACTCTTAAATACTTACATTTGGCTTAAAATTCAGGAAAGCCAGAATCCTGTATCTGACATGTCTTTCCCACAAAAAATAGAGCCGGTATGTATCATTCAAGAGCACAAATCTGGTAAAACTAACGCTGAAACTGTCTCACCTACTTACAATAACAGGTGCTTGCCCTGCCTCCCCATCACAGGAGAAGCTCCGTCCTCACACCCCTCCCTCACCCGGCCCCTGAATACAAGGTGTCAGGAAGCCTCTGACCAGCACTGCCCACGAGACCCTGGACACGGGGGAGAAGTAAACAGGGTTCCAGGTACATACACCTGCCCCACCCCAGAGAAGTACTGCCCTGCCAAGCCTTTCCATGAGGACACGCACAGTGCATGTCTTTTCCTTCTACACCACGTCCACTCCGCCAGCACTGCCTGCTGCAAGTACTTCTCACCACCTGCTACTGCCTGCCCCCCACCCTAACACTCTTCTTCACACGGCAGCATGCACAATGCCTTCCCGTCCATCAGCCTCCTGTTCTGCACAACACCCCTTGGGGCCGGCACCTCCCTAGTGGGCAGAACCCTTTGGCAAAAATAGAAACTGCAGGTGGGCCACCCAGTGCACACAGACCACCTGTCTCAGCAGTGGCTATCCCAGAAACCATCACAGCGACAGACCTGGTACCTTCCTCAGCCAGCCTCTGTGTAGTGAGAGGCCCACGGATGCTCCTTGCTGTTCGCAGGAAATGTTCTGACACTTAGCCTCTGCCAGAGGCAGGACTTACCTCAGAGCTCACCATCAGCTCCGGGACGCTGTGCACCATGGACACAGTGGCTGTGGACAGAGGGACCTGCTGCTGCCCGTTCTTACTCTGCAGCCTGCGGGCATGAGAAGGCACACGGAGATGAACACACTGAAGAACTATACCCAGAACGCACACAGGACGTCGAGGGCACGATTTTAATTGACACGCAGGGGAAGTTCACGGCCAGCACAGTGCAGTTTCATTCTGCCCACAGCTGCTGAAACGGCTGACGTCTGAGAACAGATGGGAAAGTTCTCACAGACATCTCCTGGAAATGAACTGTGATGGCCGCACTGAAACAGAGGCCCCAAAACATGAAAGCCCCCGAAACAGGACAGTCCATGCTGCTCAGCAAGTCTACCGAGGGTGACCGCCTGCCACAGGTGGAAAAGGAGCCCAGGAACGAGGTGGGGGGACCTGAAGGGGACCCGGGAGCAGTGAGGCGTAGGCTGATCACAGATGCGCCGTTTGCCTGGCTAAAAGGAGAGCAAACTGACCACACGGGGGTGAGTATCAGACCTCTCCAGTGCCTTCGGAACTTATGGAAACAAAACCAGAAAGAACACCTCCCTGGGAGATGGACCTAAGTCGCCAGATAAGGAGGGTGCCATCAGAGGTGGAGGCTCCTGGAACCCGTAGGTCACCCCATCTCAAATGCCCAGAGGCCCCGCCCCCCAGCCCGAGGGGCCAGTACTTACTGGGTTAGGTCCTGGCCGCACTCAGCACACAGGCCTTTCATGACAACGGGGTGGCTACATCCTTCCAACCGTACCAGAACCGCCCTAGAATAGAGATGAAAATGGTCCCACATTAGGGAAGGAGAGAAGTACAATCCCTGGATTCCACATAACCCCAGGGGGCATATAGACCTCCAGGTCCCACGCTGGTTCTCCCAGTGACTTCTAGCTCCCTCCCGGCAGGTGGCACTGCCCAGCAGGGCCCTGCCCCTGGCTGTGAAGCAGAGGGGCTTCTCACCCACGCATCTCTCTCATGCAAACACAACAGAACCACGTATGCTGCAGCTGGAGGAACCAGGGACGTCCTGGCAGGAGAGGGTACTTGGGATGCTCACGAGCCCCACTCTAACACTTCCGATAAATTATAAACACAGAAGCTGCTGTTAATACAGCAAGGAGCAACCTGGGATAAAACTGATGAATGTTGTCTCCCATGTAGCGTCCCCAGTCCACAGAGAAGCTATGAGTCACAGACATTTTTCTGATAGAACTATAATTATATTTCTGGTTTTTACCAACACAGAAACGGCAATTTCCTTTGTATCTTGTATCAAACCCTGGTCCCAAGTAGGGCAAGTGGCATACAAAACTAAAGGCTGAGTGGTCAGAGTTCCAGGGCCCTGTAGCTCCGTGCCATGGGGGTCTGCGGATCCCACTGAGCCTCATCTAGACCTGGGCCCGAGAGCACTCGTCAGGCCAGTGTCTGCGAAGTAGGACCTTGCTGGGTGCATCCTCACAAAAGCCACAGAGCACACGGACACCCTGAGGCCCGAGAGTTGGCTGACCACTGAGTGCCACGCAGAGAGTGGATGGCCACACACTTTTCCTTCCTCAACCACACTGCCTCAGAGCTCTGGACCACAAAGGACTTCCATGGGCTAACAGAGGTACCAAATGGGTACCCCCTACCAAGGGCCCCTTTACTCCCTTCCCATCTTGGACACTCACAACCAGGCATTCAGTACTCCAATGGCTGGGCCCAGACTTGCTACCCTGTGTTCACAGCCCATGCTTGACCCCAAACCACAGTGCTGGTAGGTGGCAGGTGCTGGCGCTCTTTAGGGATGTGCTCTGCCACTCTAGCTAGCCCCTTCCTGGGTGTGCTTGCTCAGCTTCAGCACCATTTAAACCTCTACCTAGGGATCCCTGGGTGGCGCAGCGGTTTGGCGCCTGCCTTTGGCCCAGGGCGCGGTCCTGGAGACCCAGGATCGAGTCCCACATCGGGCTCCCGGTGCATGGAGCCTGCTTCTCCCTCTGCCTGTGTCTCTGCGCCTCTCTATCTCTCTCTGTGACTGTCATAAATAAATAAAAAAATTAAAAAAAAAAATAAAATAAACCTCTACCTAAAATCTGCCCCATGTTCCCATCTTCAACCAAGTCCTGCAGGGGACCACACCGCTCCACACAAAGCTTCCCCATCTGTGTGGAGCCCGGTCAAAGACGTCCTCATGGCCCAAGTTCCTGCCCGCCTGAAACGGAGGATCTGTGTGCCAAAGGGTAGTCCCCATCATCTCCCCTGCCACCCCAGCTTACTGTCCCTCCACTCTGGGCACCCTGCATCTCGTCAACCCTCCACCACCAGGTTCTGTGCTGCTGCTGATGGAGCTGGCACTTGGGTCTGGCTTTGAGACCACGGCCCGGTTGGCTTTCTGCACTTGGCTGGCTCTGCAGCACCTCACCCAACCATACCCATCCCCACACACATCCTTGCATGACAGCCCCTTCACCCTCTCTTCTGACCCCACACCACCCACATCAAGTGGCAGCCAGGGTCCAGGACTCTTGCATTCATGGCCGTTATGGCAGGTACCTCCAAATCAGCCCTCGCTCGGACACCTGGCCGGGCTCCGGCCACATGAGGGTCACACTCTCCTGTGGAGCTGCCCACAGAGCAGCCCACCTTGCCAGCAACCTGCAATTAGACTGCATCCTGCTGGGGCCCCACCCTTGCCTGTCCTGTCCTGCTCTCCTGCATGCGGGAGGAGAAGCAACATGCCAGGAAGGCAACTGACAGGATCTGAGCAGAGCTGGCAAGAGGACTGACCCTGCACTTTCCCAAAAGTCAAAAGTGTGTATCAATTGTTGGCTAATGGGTTTACTGAAGGGTTTGTCAGGCCTTCTGGAACCTGGCAAAAGTCTGCTGTTTGCCCCCTGGAATGCTGAGTCTTCTTTTACCAGTCTTCAGGGTTTAAAATTCTGTGTCACTTTGTGTCTTTATTTATTTATTTATTTTTTTAGACTTTATTTATTCATGAGAAACACAGAAAGAGGCAGAGACATAGACAGAGGGAGAAGCAGGCTTCATGCAGGGGCCCGACACGGGACTCCATCCCAGGACCCCGGGATCATGCCCTGGGCTGAAGGGAGGCACTCAACCACTGAGCCACCCAGTCATCCCACTTTACTCATTTCTATAGTAAAACTTATGAGCTGGGGAATATGTTTTCAGGAATGTCAACACCTGACCAGGAGGATTTAACCAATCTCTCCTGAAACATTAACCTGAAGACGCGTTTGGTGTCTCTAGCTCAACCAATAATACCTTGAAATGCTTTGTGAGGTAGGTGTTTCCATTCTGTAGTCAGCTTTTTCATTTTCTTAAGTGTTTTTTGAAAATAAGATTTTAAATTTTGATCAAGTCCAATTTATCAGATGTTCTGGGTCCTTGAGAAATCTTGGTCTTACCCAAGTCACCATGATTCAAGGGGAACCTCAAGTGGGTGGGTGTGAATCCTAATTCTAGAGGATTAATGTCCTTTAGCAGAAGGAATCTTCTGGGACGGCCCCCCACAAGGTGACAGGAAGCAGGCCAAGGGTAGGGCAGGTGAGACCAAGCTGCACAGGTGAGGGGCAGCAAGCTTCAGATGTCCCAAGTGAAGAGCAAGGTGAAAGCAGCAGCTATGAGGTTAACAGTTGGGAACCCTGAATGTAGCACCAAGAACCCGCAGGTGGTGTTGCAAGGGTGCTAGGAGCGGGCTGACCAGACAAGCTCTATATTCAGCAGCACAGGCAGGAAATGCGGGGAGAAGTGTGAACCCAGAGACACGGGGCTGTGGTGGACACTCTGGGATGTTTCTGGAAGAAACCTGCCAGGGACCAGGGACAAAAAGGACCAGTGAGTCGGCCGGGAAGACAGAGCAAGGGCAGTAGAGGCACCACCAGCCACCATGCATGCCTGGACATGGCCAGGGCGGGAGTACAGGTGTGATGGGCTGTGGGTCCCAGGCCAGGATGTAACCACCTCATAGAAACAGATGGCAGGCCTGCGGGGAACCCCAACAGTGAAGAGATAGGCAGGAAAAAGAACATCAACTAAAAACAGAAATAAAAAACACTGCTCACAAAGGCTGGGAGTCAGGACAACAGATTGCCAGGGAACAAACATTTTGAGAAAGAAAAGGAATGTCAGTGTAAGTGCTCCCAGGAGAATCCAGAGTGGATTCAACCCCAGGCAGGGTGGTGGTTTTCAGGCACACATGTCAAAACTCACTCAACTATGAACTTAAAATGCACATCTACATCGGCCGATGACCAGCCAACGAGGCCAACGCCAACACGCTTGGTGATGAAGAGCTATTGGTGACCGTTCCAAGGGCCACGTGGCAGCGCAGCACAGCGAGGCACAGGGGGCACCCTGGGCACGGTGCTGCAGCTCAGTGCTGCGTCCTCAGCACCATCCACTCAGCAGAGCGCTGTGGGGTCACCCACGCAGGGCAACCTGGGCTAAGACAGCCTGACAGCTGGTGGCATGCCAGCCTGCCTTCTTGTCACCCTGCAGACCTGGCTCCTCCCTGTGCCACTCCACGGCCGCTGGGACCCACAGGCTTGGCCAAGTGCTCCCAAGTGCTGCTGAATTCTCCCCTCAACACAGGGGCTTCCTCTGCTCAGACCAGCCTGCTACTCAACCACCTCCGCCTCATCCTTCTGTCTGGACCCAAACCCAGAGCTGCACCTCCTCCCAAAGTTCCCTCAGCTCCCACTGCTCTGGGTGACACACAGCATACCCTCCACTGCTGTACCTTGAAGATCCAGCAGACACAGCATCCTTCCTTGACAGAGTGGGGAGGCACTGGCCCAGTTTCTGAGTCCCAGGCAGAGTCTGCCGCCAGTAGGCAACCAGAGAGGCGGGTAGTCAGGCAGGAATACAAGGTGGGGGCACATGTGCTAACCACTCCAGGTGCCCCTGCAAGTGGCCTGAATATGCACCTTTCACTAAAAAGTCCTTCACGTACGGGTCACATTAAAGGTCCCGTAACTTTCCATGCCAGGGTCAAAGGATTCTGCCTGTCTTGTTCAGATGACAAACAGATTGGGGGTGTCATCCTGTAAGCCTGTCCTGGACAATGCAGAGTTCCATCCCCAGGAGGAGAACAGTCAGAGGGCGGCCGGGAGACAGGTGCATGGAGGCCCCCACTCTCAAGAGATACTCGGGTCAAGTCCAATCACCCAAAGATCTGAAGGAATATTTCATGTTGAGCAATGACTAGCACATGAAGTGAGCTTCTACTAGGAACCCCTCCATGGTGACACCACATGCGTGTCATCACCATATGACTCGTGTAAGAGATGCAGATAACTCACAAATGAATGTAATCCCTTATAAAAAGCCTTCATTTCAAAATTCTGATGTCTACTCTCCTTGACATATGAGTCAACTGTAGTGTTAAGAGTCCAAAACTCCGTATTTATGAACATTAAGAGGATTTTTGTATTTGCTTAATTTAAACACAAGGTCTCCAGTTGAATTCACCCTGGCAGTGCTTGTCGCAGTTCATGGATGTGGTGGTGAGCCGGGTCCAGGTGGGGGAGCCCACCAGGAAGGCTGTAGGGAGACAGGAGGTGGCAAGCAAGTCGTCCGATGCAAGACAAAATGCAGGCAACTTCCTCAGAGTACCCAAGTCAGAAGATGCAACATGCTACATCTAGCAAAGTGGCCCCCAAGCCAAACAGCATCATATCAGAACTGGATCCATCAGGGTTAAGGCCACACCTGCCAGGCTCTCCTCAGAGAGCTGGATTGCGGGACTCGATCCCAGGACCCCGGGATCATGCCCTGAGCCAAAGGCAGGTGTTCAACCACGGAGCCACCTGGGCATCCCAGGGAATGAGTATTTTAAAAAAATAATAGTAATGTCCTTTTTCAGCATAAGATGATTTCAACTCTGCAGATACTGACACAAGACAAGGATGAAAGGCAGGGAGTGATTCTAGTGTTTCTGCCCCTCCACCCCACAAACAGCCACTACTGCGACCCCGTGAGGGAGTGGCACTCTAGAGAAAACACTTTGGCCCAGGAGCCAGCCCCAGAACTTCAAGTCAGTCACCAATAAATGTTAACTTTCCTGGTTTGTCCTTGAAAAAAACCGACAGAAAAATCATGAAATGCAATTTCTGAAAAAGTTATTTTCCCCTAAATACACAAATCCCAAGCTCTCTCGAATCTTTTGTGCGCATCAGCTTGTGTCTGCTGTGACGGGAAGGCCAGAGGGCACGGGTGTACCAGGCACAGCAGAGCCTCAGGAAGCCGGGTGCCCTGCATTCTGCGCTGCTAAATGTCGGGTCAGACCCCTCCCTCCTCCTGGTGGGTTAGGAGAGCTCAAGGACGTCCTCCCACTCTACACACACAGCTCAGTATGAGGGCACTGGGGAAAATGTATTTCGTGCATCCAGATTTGTTTCCTCAAGGGCCTTCTCTATGAGAAGGAAGCAGGACTTCTTGGAGAAATGGAGGATTCCAGAGCTGAGGAGCAGGTATTGGTGGTGAGCCCAATACCATTCATGTTGGAAAACACGGCCACGATCTCAGACTGGTGGGGTCTTGCCTGCGGGGTCAGTTCCAGGCCAAACCTGGGACATCGGGAGCATAAGGACAAACAACAGTACAAACAACAGGACCCCAAGAGTCCACATGGTTCAATTCATTGTTCTTACAGCAGAAAGCCAACCCAGAAATGGAAAAGCAGTGACAGACTGGAGAAAGTCACCCCTGGATGATCCTGATTAAAATACAGGAGATTCAGACAAGAATCATCAAGATGCCATTGAATGAGAGAATTAAAGATATTTACTGAGGAAGAAAGTACCCCTCACAAGATACTCCACAATAACAACAGGAAAATTAGTACCTTTTCACGACAGCCACCACCTTGACAAAGCAGAACAAGACAAACTGGGGACACCTGCTGCCTGAGTGGCCCACTCAGGACACACACGGCCCCAGCAAGTCCTGCCTCAGCGCACAGCACGACGTGGGTGGGTGGCCAGCCAGTCTGCAGAGCCACCAGCTGATGATGAGATTGAAGAGGAGGGACCACCTGACGCTAGAGACCCAGGAGCTCTGACGATGTCCCTAACCCACATCTGGGGTTTCCTGTGCTTCCTCGGACAAGAGTGGCCCATTGGGGGAAATCTAACGAGCAGAAAATAGCCCTGCATGGACGTTATTTCAGATTCTGATCATCAGGTGATGGTTAGGTTAAGAGAATATTTTTTAGGAAACTGAAAGCTTTAGGGATAAAATACATCACATCTGCAGCTTACTCCTCAACCCTGGTAAGGAAAATACCATATGTGAGGGGGAAGAAGAGTAAAGCAGATAAGGCAATGTGCTGACCTTCAGGAAATCTGTGTGACCCTTATATGAGGACTCTTGGTACTACTCCTGCAACTTTTCTCTAGGCCTGGAATTATGTTCACAAAAAAGGGAAAACGTACACTTGCTCTGACCGAGTGATGGGCCAGCGACAGGCCACAGGGCAGCGGTGGTGACTGAAGCACCATCCCAGCCATCCAGCAGCCATCCCAGCCTGCCACATTCAGAGCCAGAACAGGGCACTTCAGACGATGTCGGCCACCCCTGGCCTGGTGATTGAGTGTGCTTGTAAGAGACAAAACCAAAGCATCGGAAGAAACTAAATTAAAAACAGTGGGCAACACCCATTCCCAGTGTCAGAAAAAAATCTCCAGACTTAGCTACTGAGATTCCACAAAGCAATTCTTTACAGAATTCTCTTAAAACTGGATGTATGGCCAGTGTGGCCTACTAAGACTTCTCTGACAAAACTCTATTTTCCTACCAAGTCTCAAAAGCAAGGGGCACCAAGGCTCCCCTGCACTGCTGGGTTACACAGGCAGGGGACTCACGGCCTCAGAATTTCAACATCATCTCCAGGATGCACCCCTGCAATTTTAAATGCTTCCAGCCTTAAAAAGCAGTAGCCGCTCTCCAACCCCCCACCATACTCAGATGAAAGCACCGCAGGGCACGGACGCACCAGCCATCGCACACAGCACACTGAACTCCATCACCCCGCCGACTCACCGCCAGCATGAGAGACCGGTGAGGACAGGACGAAGCCAGCACCCATAATCCACAGCATCACCATAAAGCCATGAATGTCTTCTAAATTTCTTCAAAATACAAAGACTAAATAGGTCAACATTTAGCTCAAGTTCTTGAAGTTCTAAGGAATTTTGTAAATATAAAGTGCTAAGAAGTATGTACGATCTACTTACAACCTTTAGAAATTATTGTATATTTTTGAGATACCACACAAATACTTTGAAACTGATTTGTCTAGATTCTCACTCCCCCCCCCCCAAAAAAAAGCACTTTTTCTGAGATAACTGACATATTATTACATTATTTGTTATCATTTTTGGCTTTACTATCAGTATTCATGCAGTTCAAAAAAACACATGAAATTAAAGATTTCCATTCCTCTGTAACCAGATATTTGATTTCATATTATATGCTTTGAAATTAACTTTAAACATGAAAATGGAAATAAATATGGTAACACATGCCATAACCTCTTAAAGCATACCCATCAGTTTTAAGACCGATCATGCTTCAAAGCCCATTTGCTTCAAACGTCTTTATTTAAAAGATTATATACAAGATACCTAAAAATCCAAAGAACTGCAATAAAAATAAATCATGCATGTATATCAAATAAAGTTGGTTAAAAGGCCAATGGTTTTGTAGTTAAGTGAAAACTGGAAAAAAACCCACACAAATTCATCTGAAGTACAGATTGTTTAGTGGGTTCAATTAAATAAAGTGACAATTCTCCCACTTTTAGACATAAAGAGTTTTTAACTGAGTAATCTTTTGAACAGTGCAGATGTCAACAGGGAAGGATAAGATCATTTAACTGACAGAATGTTCTAGCTCATCAGAGATGTCAATACCAGGATGGAAAAGTAATTTCCTTACTTCCAAAGGCAAGGCCTCTGTAGATGAGCACTTCGGGGCGCTAAGTGGACTGCACTCAGAATTTTAAACCCTATATAACCTAACTCTACTTTACAATCTTGGCTGGACTCTCAGTGTTCCCTAGGAGTTTCTCTGATCTTTCATCCTCAAGCCTATGAAGCAAGCCTGGTACCGTCACCCTGCCCGGCAGCACTCAGCCCAGACCCTGGCTGATGGAGACATTCTTCTGTGGACAGACCACGGGGCCCAGGGAGCTGGGTGGACACCATGCACACCTGCCCCTACCCCCGTTGGTCCTTACCCACCACCACACTTGTTCCCAGGTTATTTCATGGATCTTCCTTTGGGGACTGCACCATCTCCCACTGAATGACAACAGACAGGAAAGCACACAGGTGAGAAGGAAAGACATCATTAGATAAAGTGATAGTTAACAGGTTCAGTTTGACAGATTGTGCCTTGCCAGAATATTTTCAACTCTGTTTTTCCGGGTGGAAATTATGAAGACGTTCTGTCTACTTCCCCACCCCAGGACTCTCTGGATGAGACTCGGCCCAAGGACAGAGCAGCATGGAGGAGGATGCTGCTGGGAAGCTCAGCAAGGCAAGGTGCTGGACGTGTCAACACCCCTGGGACCCTAGTGCCTGCCCACCCTGCCCACCCTATCCTGGTCCCAGGACAAGGGTGCGGTTCCTACCTCTACCTGAGCACAGATACAAAAACATACAATCCTATTACAGATCAGAATAGTCAACCACAACCAGAAGCAGTTCCTAGAACTAAGTGTTTGCAGCCTGAGGATAACCGTGGATGTGTCAGGAGCAATCCTGCTGCTGCCGGAGTGGTGGGGACAAGGACAGCTCCAGCCAGGCAAGCCTGGCTGCTCGGTGCTTTCCCTGCATCCACCCATACCCGCACTCCAGGAGACCCCCTAAACCTCAAACACCATAAACACGGAAACAAACAAACAAACAAACAAACAAAAAAAACCAGACACCTCTCAGCACAGAGAACTTGTTCTTAGAGGAGTTACGTGGTTGACGGTGAGGCTACGTACAGGGTCACTCTGATTTGCCAGTTCTGCGGACGTGATCAAAGCACCGCACGGGGACTTTCTCACTAACTAGCTGCAACCAGTCTCGGACTAGTCCCGGCGCTCCTGGCCCCATCTGGGTCACTGGAGACAGGGCCCTTCAGTTCAGGACTCTTCTACACAGCGACACCAGCACTGGGCTTCCCTGGAACCACAACCGTGGGCTCGTGGCTTTTCCAGCCCGGGATGGTCGGAAGACTCGACCTCAGGGCAATGGCGCCAGCGTGCCCCAGCGTGCCCCAGCGTGCCCCAGCGTGCCCCCAGCACGGCCCGACCAGCCTCTCCTCTCCCTTCCGAGGACGCCAGCCACAGCTCAGTGGACAGAGCCTGCGTTCACTGGGCAGCCTGCGCCCCTGACCCCAGGGCCCACGACCACGGTGCCCTCTGCAAACAATGCTGGGGCGAAGCGGACACAGGACAAGCCTCCTGGGGTCGGGGCGGCCCGGGAAGGGCTGTCTGGCGGGGCGTGGGGCGAAGCAGACGCTGCAGCCAGCGCAAGCCCGGCGGGAGGGGCGGAGGCCAGGGCGAAGGACTCCGCGGCGGCGGGAAGCAGGGCCAGGTCGCTCTCGCGCGCCACGCCCCAGGGGAAGCTCCCGCGGGACCCCGCGGGCGGCGGCGGATCTCGGCGCCGCGGAAGCCAACTGAGGTCGGCCGACGTCTCGCGTACCGCCTGCGGGCCGGCTTCCCCAGCGGGCCCCGCCCCCGCCCCCGAGCCCCACTCACCCGGGGACCACCACCTGGCCCGGCTGCGCGCACAGCTCCCGCACCACACCTGCACGCTCCGACCTCAGCCGGCGCTCGGCGCGCACGCAGCCCCCGGAGCCGGCGCGGGCAGGGGCGGGCCCCGCGGGCTGCGCGGAGGCGGCGGCCTCACACACCGCCAACACCGAGCCGATGCGCACGGCCGCGCCCGCCGCAACCCGCCACTCGAGCAGGCGCAGCGGCCCGGGGCCCGGGCAGCGCACCTCGGCCACGGCCGCCGGCGGGGCGCCCTCGGCGGGAACGCGGCCCGCGGGCGGCGCCTCCATCGCGGCCGGGCGGGGTCGCTGTGGGAAGGTCGGCGGACTGGGCGCTCAAGGCCCGGCGCCCATCGCGGGCGGGCGGGCGGGCGGGGCGGGACGGCGGCCCCGGCCCAGGAGGCGAAGACGACGGCCCCGCAATTCGCGCTCCGGCACCGGCTTCCACCCGCCGCCCGGCCCGCGCCCACTTCCGGGACAGCGTCTGACGTCGCGTGACGCCGCGTGACGCCGCGTGTGTGCGTCGCTGGGCCCGCGGGTAAACACACACCCACGCGGGAGACGCGGCGCCGGCCGCGGGTGCCCGGAGCGCCCTGGGAACGAGCGTGTGGGGCCGGCCGGGCGGGAACGCTGTGGCCACGCCCCATGGGCCCCGGGAACGCCGACGGCGAGGGGCTGCGGTCCCGGCGTGCAGCGCGCGCCCGCGCTGCCCAGAAACCCCGGCATGCACTGCGACTTCCCGGCATGCCGCGCGCGCCCCCTGTCCCACAGTTCCCCTGGTGCACCAAAGCCCGGGGGTCGTTAAACTAGGAGTCCCGGCATGCAGCGCGGGCCGCCGTCCGCAGCGTAGTCCCGCGCCGAGGCCCGTTGCGAAGAGACTACGAGTCCCGGCAGACAGCGCGAGCATCGGAGCGCCACAGTCCCGGCGTGCCGTGCGCAGTGCGGGGTCAGAGGGCGCTGGCCCCCGGCACCGCCAGGGCTGCGCGGGGGGAGGCCCGCGGAGTTGCGGAGGAGAGGAACCGGGTTGGGGGCGGTCGCGACCTTCGGCGATTTCTGAGGCCGGGCCGCTGGGGCGAGAGGGCACGGGCGGAGGGTCAGGCTTCCCTGGCCCCCGCAGCCTCCGGGCCGCGCTCAGCGACTGTGCGGGGACGGGGCGCTCCACCCTGATCTGGGCTCCGTGCTCGTCCACGTGAGGTGTCGTGGTGACCGGACCTGCGGGGCCGTGACCTGTCCCCGCGGGGTGCCAGCCCCCGTCCTGCCGGCCGCCGCCGCCGCCGCGCTGACCGCTCGGGTCCGCGGCCGTGCCCGGCTGCTTTCCTGCCCACGCCACACCTTGTGTCCCCCGGCTCGCCCCCTGCTGTCCCCCCGCTGTCTCCCGGCTCCCCCCCCGCTCTCCGCTGTCCCCCCACTGTCTCCCGGCCACCCCCCCAGTGTCCCCCCGCTGTCCCCCGGCTCCCCCCCCGCTCTCCGCTGTCCCCCCACTGTCTCCCGGCCACCCCCCCAGTGTCCCCCCGCTGTCCCCCGGCTCCCCCCCCGCTCTCCGCTGTCCCCCCACTGTCTCCCGGCCACCCCCCCAGTGTCCCCCCGCTGTCCCCCGGCTCCCCCCCCCGCTCTCCGCTGTCCCCCCACTGTCTCCCGGCCACCCCCCCAGTGTCCCCCCGCTGTCCCCCGGCTCCCCCCCGCTCTCCGCTGTCCCCCCACTGTCTCCCGGCCACCCCCCCAGTGTCCCCCCGCTGTCCCCCGGCTCCCCCCCCGCTCTCCGCTGTCCCCCCACTGTCTCCCGGCCACCCCCCCAGTGTCCCCCCGCTGTCCCCCGGCTCCCCCCCCGCTCTCCGCTGTCCCCCCACTGTCTCCCGGCCACCCCCCCGGTGTCCCCCCGCTGTCCCCCGGCTCCCCCCCCGCTCTCCGCTGTCCCCCCACTGTCTCCCGGCCACCCCCCCAGTGTCCCCCCGCTGTCCCCCGGCTCCCCCCCCCGCTCTCCGCTGTCCCCCCACTGTCTCCCGGCCACCCCCCCAGTGTCCCCCCGCTGTCCCCCGGCTCCCCCCCCGCTCTCCGCTGTCCCCCCACTGTCTCCCGGCCACCCCCCCAGTGTCCCCCCGCTGTCCCCCGGCTCCCCCCCCGCTCTCCGCTGTCCCCCCACTGTCTCCCGGCCACCCCCCCAGTGTCCCCCCGCTGTCCCCCGGCTCCCCCCCCCGCTCTCCGCTGTCCCCCCACTGTCTCCCGGCCACCCCCCCAGTGTCCCCCCGCTGTCCCCCGGCTCCCCCCCCGCTCTCCGCTGTCCCCCCACTGTCTCCCGGCCACCCCCCCAGTGTCCCCCCGCTGTCCCCCGGCTCCCCCCCCGCTCTCCGCTGTCCCCCCACTGTCTCCCGGCCACCCCCCCCGGTGTCCCCCCGCTGTCCCCCGGCTCCCCCCCCGCTCTCCGCTGTCCCCCCACTGTCTCCCGGCCACCCCCCCAGTGTCCCCCCGCTGTCCCCCGGCTCCCCCCCCCCGCTCTCCGCTGTCCCCCCACTGTCTCCCGGCCACCCCCCCAGTGTCCCCCCGCTGTCCCCCGGCTCCCCCCCCGCTCTCCGCTGTCCCCCCACTGTCTCCCGGCCACCCCCCCAGTGTCCCCCCGCTGTCCCCCGGCTCCCCCCCCCGCTCTCCGCTGTCCCCCCACTGTCTCCCGGCCACCCCCCCAGTGTCCCCCCGCTGTCCCCCGGCTCCCCCCCCCGCTCTCCGCTGTCCCCCCACTGTCTCCCGGCCACCCCCCAGTGTCCCCCCGCTGTCCCCCGGCTGCCCCCCCCCCGCTCTCCGCTGTCCCCCCACCCCCACCCCCGGTGTCCCCCCGCAGTCCCCCGGCTCCCCCCCCCCCGCTCTCCGCTGTCCCCCCACCCCCCCCGGTGTCCCCCCGCAGTCCCCCGGCTCCCCCCCACCGCTCTCCGCTGTCCCCCCACTGTCTCCCGGCCACCCCCCCCCGGTGTCCCCCCGCTGTCCCCCGGCTCCCCCCCCCACTCTCCGCTCTCCGCTGTCCCCCCACTGTCTCCCGGCCACCCCCCCAGTGTCCCCCCGCTGTCCCCCGGCTCGCCTCCCTGCTATCTGCCCGTCCCCCCTCTATCTGCCTCCCCCCCGCTGTCCCCCCACTGTCTCCCGGCCATCACCCCCCCCCCCCCCGTGTACCCTGGCTGGCCTCCCTGCTATCTGCCCATCCCCGGCCCCCCTCTATCTGCCCCCCCCGCTGTCCCCCCACTGTCTCCCGGCCATCTCCCCGCCCCCGTGTACCCTGGCTCGCCTCCCTGCTATCTGCCCGTCCCCGGCCCCCCCTCTACCTGCCCCCCCCCCGCTGTCCCCCCACTGTCTCCCGGCCACCCCGTGTCCCCCGCTGTCCTCCCTGCTGCCCCCCGTTGTACCACTGGCCATCCTCCCGCTACCCCCATTGCTGTTCCCCAGTTGGATGTCAGCTGACCCAACAGGGAGGGAAGCTGGAGGAAGCAGCAGCTTAGGGCTGAGAGCACACACCAGGGCCCCCCCCCGCCCCCGCACTGCAGGATGGGTGGGTGTCGTGTCCAGGGGACCCCTGGAACCAAGCGGGACCGTCAGGAATCGGAAGAGCAAACTACACAGGGAGTGCAGGGGCAGGAAACACCGACTACAGCAGGAGTAGACCGCACAGGAGGCGGTGGAGAAACCCTGCAAAACCAGAAGCCAGTTGGTTGGAAAGGCGGACAAATGACCAGACTTTGAGTGGATTGACCAGGTGAAAGGGAGGGAAACTTTGGTGATGTCAGGAATGATTTACAGAAATAAAGATGATGATGAGGGAATAAGGTGG